TTAGACTTCCAATATATACCCTGTTGTACTGCGATAATGAGGGCCTACGCTGTTGAGATGGGCCCACACAAGTCTATGCAGGGGGAAAGTCACTGAAAGTCCATGGATCCCTTATGCCTGTGCCTAGGCAAAGGAGCTCTGCCTACCCTGAGTTCCTGGCTTAGGGGAGCTGGCAGTTTCTTTTTTCCCGTTTGTTAATTTGTTCACTCTCCAAGGCAGGGAGAACTGGAGCCACCCTTTGAAATCTTTTGTTTAGCTTTTTCACTTCATCATTTCTTCCGTTTGCTTTAGCTACTCTACATTCAAGAGCAAGTATCAGATCCTCTTCTGACATCCATTTTGGTCTTTTTTTTTTTTCCTTTTCTGTCTTTTTAATGACGTTTTGGTTTCTTCATGTATGATGTCCTTTATGTCATCCCACAACTTGTCTGGTCTTTGGTCATTAGCGTTCAACACATCAAATCTATACTTGAGACGGGCTCTAAATTCAGGTGGTATATATAGGCATACTTTGTTTTATTGTGCTTTGTAGATACTGTGTCTTTTTAACAAATTGAAGGTTTGTGGCAACTCTGTGTAGAGCAAGTCTATTGGCACCATTTTTCCAACAGCATGTGCTCACTTCGTGTCTCTGTGTCACATTTTGGTAATTCTCGCAATATATGAAACTTTTTAATTATTATTATATCTCTTATAGTGATCTGTGATCAGTGATCTTTGATGTTTCCATCATAATTGTTTTGGGGTGCACAAACCACGACCATACAAGACGGTGAACTTTATTGATAAATGTCTTGTATGTTTTGACTGCTTCATCAACCGGCCATTCCCTCATCTCTCTCTCTATTCCCTGAGACATGATGATATTGAAATTAGGCCAGTCAGTAACCCTACAATGGTCTCAAAGTGCTCAAGTGAAAGGAAGAGTCAAATGTCTCTCACTTTAAATCAAAAGCTAGAAATGATTAAGCTTCGTGAGAAGGCATGTCAAAAACTGAGACAGGCTGAAAGCTAGGCCTCTTGTGTCAAACAGTTAGCCAAGTTGTGAATGCAAAGGAGAAGTTCTTGAAGGAAATTAAAAGTGGTACTCCAGTGAACACATGAATGATAAGAAAGCGAAACAGCCTTATTGCTGATACGGAGAAAGTGTTAGTGGTCTGCATAGACAATCAAACCAGCCACAACATTCCCTTAAGCCAAAGACTAGTGCAGAGCAAGGCCTTAACTGTCTTCAATCCTGTGAAGGCTGACAGAGGTGAGGAAGCTGCAAAAGAAAAGTTTGAAGCTAGCAAGGTTGGTTCATGAGGTTTAAGGAAAGAAGCCATCTCCATAACAAGAAAGTGCAAGGTGAACCAGCAAGTGCTAATGTAGAAACTGCACCAAGTTATCCAGAATATCTAGCTAAGATAATTGATGAAGGTTGCTACACTAAACAACAGATTTTCAGTGTAGATGAAACAGCCTTATATTGGAAGCAGATGCCATGTAGGACTTTCAGAGCTAGAGAGAAGTCAATGCCTAGCTTCAAAGTTTCAATGGACAGGCTGATTCTCGTTAGCAGACAATGCAGCTGATGACTTTAAGCTCAGCCAGTGGTCACTTACCATTCTGAAAATCCTAGAGTCCTTAACAATTATGCTAAATCTACTCTGCCTATGCTTTATAAACGGAACAACAAAGCCTGTATGACAGCACATCTGTTTACAATATGGTTTACTGAATATTTTAATCCCACTGTTGAGACTCACAGCTCAGAAAAAAAGATTTCTTTCAAAATGTTACTGCTCACTGACAATGCACCTGGTCACCCAAGTTCTTTGATGGAGATGTACAAGGAGATTAATGTTGCTTCCATGCCTGCTAACACAACATCCATTCTGCAGACCATGGATCAAGGAGAAATTCTGACTTTCAAGTCTTATTATTTAAGAAATACATTTCATAAGTCTACAGCTGCCATAGATAGTGATTCCTCTGATGGATCTGGGCAAAATAAGTTGAAAACCTTCTGGAAAGGATTCACCATTCTAGATGCCATTAAGAGCATTCGTGATTCACGGAAATCAAAATATCAACATTAACAGGAATTTGGAAGAAGTTGATTCCAACCCTCATGGATGACTTTGAAGGGCTCAAGACTTTAGTAGAGAAAGTAACTGCACATGTGGTGGAAACAGCAAGAGAACTACAATTAGAAGTGGAACCTGAAGATGTGACTGAATTGCTGCAATCTCATGGTAAAACTTTAATGAATGAGGAATTGCTTCTTATGGATGAGCAAAGAAAGTGGTTTCTTAGCATGGAATCTACTCCTGGTGAAGATGTTGGGAACACTGCTGAAATCACAACTAAGAATTTAGAATATTATATAAACTTAGTTGATAAAGCAGAGACAGGGTTTGAGAGGACAGACTTGGACTCCAATTTTGAAAGAAGTAAAATGCTACAGAGAAATCTTCCATGAAAGGAAGAGTCAATCGATGCAGCAAACTTCACTGTTGTCTTATTTTAAGAAATTGCCACAGCACCCCAGCCTTCAGCAACCACCACCCTGATCAGTCGGCAGCCACCAACATCGAGGTAAGACCCTCCACCAACAAAAAGATTAAGACTTGCTGAAGGCTCAGATGATGGTTAGCATTTTTTAGCAAATTGTTTTTTAATTAAGGTATGTACATTTTTTTTAGACATAATGCTACTGCACACTTAATAGGCTACAGTATAGCGTAAACATAACTTTTATATACACTGGGAAACCAAAAAATTTGTCTGAGTCGCTTTATTGTGATATTTGCTTGATTGCAGTGGTCTGGAACCAAACCAGCAGTATCTCCAAGGTATGCCTGTACTCAAGGTCATACTTTGGCTCTTGTGGACTTGTGTTAATTTTCTTCAGCTTCAGCTTGAACTTGCATATGAGCAATTGATGGTCTGTTCTGCAGTCAGCCCCTAGCCTTGTTCGGACTGATGATACTGAGCTTTTCCATCATCTCCTTCCACAGATGTAGTTGATTTGATTCTTGTGTATTCCATTTGGCAAGGTCCACCTGTATAGTTCCCATTTATGCTGTTGAAAAAAGATTTGCAATGAAGAAGCTGTTGATTTGCAAAATTTTATCAAGCAATCTTCGGTGTCATTTCTATCACCAAGGCCATATTTTCTAACTAGCAATCCTTCTTCTTTGTTCCCCACTTTCACATTCCAATCACCAGTAATTATCAATGCATCTTGATTGCATGTTTGATCAATTTCACACTGCAGAAGTTGGTAAAAATCTTCAATTTCTTCATCTTTGGCATCAGTGGTAGGATAATAATTGTATTAATGTATCTTCCTTGTAGGCGTATGGATATTATTTTATCACTGACAGTGTTGTACTTTAGGACAGATCTTGAAATGTTCTTTTTGACAATGAATGCGACACCATTCCTCTTCAATTTGTCATTCCCAGCATAGTAGACCATACGACTGCCCGATTTGAAATGGCTAATACTAGCCCATTTCACCTCACTAACATCTAGAATATCTACCTTCAAGCGTTCCATTTCAGTTTTGACAACTTCCAATTTTCCTAGATTCATACTTTGTACATTCCACTTTACAATTATTCATGATGTTTGCAGCTATTTCTTCTCATTTTGAGTCATGTCATATCAGCAAATGAAAGCCCCCAAAGCTTGACTCCATCCACATCATTAAGGTCAACTGTACTTTGAGGAGGTAGGTCTTCTGCAGTATTTTGAGTGCCTTTCAACCTGAGGGGCTCATCTTTTGGCACAATGCCTGACAATGTTCTACTGCTATTGATAAGGTTTTCACTAGCCAATTTTTTTTTGTTGTAGATGCCAGGTCCTTCTTCCTAGTCTGTCTTAGACTGGAAGCTCTGCTGAAATCTATCCACCATGGGTGATCCAGCTGGTATTTGAAATACCAGTGGCATAGCTTCCAGCATCACAGCAACATGCAAGCCACCACAGTATGACAAACTGACAGGTGAGTCGTGGAGCCACTCATTAGCTAGACCCTAACAAGGACCTTATTACACCAAAACAGAAATAGAACCTATACTACCTCTATCTCACAAAGTTGTGAAAATTAAATAAGTTCATCACATCACACAGATGTTAGTATCACTAACATTCCCTGAAACAGCCCTGGAATCTAATGTTTCCAAATGTTAGAGGCATTGATAAATTGGGGGTGTAAAGGGAATGAGGTTTCCAATACTTAAAAAAAACCCACTGCCATCGAGTCGATTAGGGCTTGTATTTATTTCTCACCTTCAGGTTTAACAAGTGCTCACTTCCTATCAATGGTTTCTGAGCAAAGGAATGCCATGCTGATTCTGTGTTCATCAGCAGAACATCTATAATACTGTCCAATAGAAATTTAGTGTGAGCCATAGAATTTAAAATTTTCTAATAGCCACATTAAAAAAAAATAGATGAAATTAATTTTAACAGTATATTTAACTCAATATATACTAAGTATTACTTAAACATGCAATCAATGTAAAAATTATTGAGAATTTTTCAACATTCTTTTTTGTGTACCGAGTCTTAGGAATCCTGTGTAACATCTCAATTTGAACTATCCACATTTCAAGTGCTCAGAAGCCCCATATGCTAGAGGCTACAGCGAAGATCTACAATATTAGAAGCACAAATTATCCAATAACCCTTTCACACCCGTTTTTTGTCGTCTTCTACTTTTCTTACCATGGCAAATTACAAACGTAGCAGTTTCAAGAAATTCCCACCACCATCATCTTCCAGGAGATGCACTGCATATATCCAAATTTCCCTTAAAATAGTTATACAAAAGGCCAGCAAATGCAGTCATTTGCTAAGCAATTTAGCAATGCCCATGGCATAAGCGAGCAGCTTTATTTAGCCTCTTCAAGAATTTTAAATTACCAGTAATGAAGAGAATAGAGCCAAACATTCGGGTGATAGACCTTTTAAGAAGTATTTAACAGGGTATAACTGGAACAGGGCTTGTTGCTATTCCGGGTAAACCAGGAACCTGAGGGCGACTCCCACGGTTCAGACAACTGGCTGAGCCTCCCGTCAAAGGCATGGACGCGGTTCCGCACAAACCCGCAGCGACGGAGGCTGCAGCGCAGCCCCAGCGCCCCCGAGGGGAGCTCCGCGCGCCCTCGAGCTGCCCGCAGCCCCGGAGCTCTAGCCGAGGCCCAGCCGACCACCCGGAGCGGTAGTCCGGCAGAGTGGAACGCAACGCCCCGCACCCCGCGCCTCGGCTCCTGGCCTGTCCCCGCCCACGCCGTTCAAGTGGGCTTTCCCAGACCCTCCGCGGCGGCCCCGACGCTCCAGCTCTCGACGCGGGCCTGCCTTCCGGGGAGCAGAGACACGGCCGCACTCACAGACCTGAGGTGGCAGCGCAGCCGCTGCACAGCCGCTTCCGGCCTAGTCGCCGACACTCCCGCCGGGGGAGTTCGGACGCGGGCAAGATGGCGCCTGCAAAGGCGCGAACAGTGATCTGGACCACCCGGCCGGGGACCAAGACCCCCACAAGGCGCCTCGGGGACGTGCAAACCACGCTTTCGCCTCGGAAGGGGTGTTTCCGACCTGTAAGCCCCGCCCCTCCATCGCAGCAGAGATCGCCCCGCCCCGGGGCGGGACCATTTCCTGGGAAGCCACGCCCCTTGCGTCCGAGCTCCCGCCCACCTGCAGACCCCACCTCACCCTTGGGGCCTCGTGAGGGATCCCAAGGACTCAGATTTGGCTGGACTGCACCTCGGATCAGCTTTACCGTTTTTTAGACTAAGTTCACACACTTCTAATTGGTTTGCTCAATTTCGATTTTCATTAAAAATGTTTTGCTAACGATGTGATAGAAAGTCAAAGGTAACTTGGTGCGTCATTTATTAACTGACTGACTCACTCCGCAAACGCGTCTTGAGGCTCCTGTTATGTGCCGTGCACAATCCTGAAATGTGGGAATACTGGAGTGAACAAAATAGACACGGTGCCTTGTTAGGACTGGTACAGTGCTACACAGGACGGACGCCCCTCAGTGTTGGAGGTCAAGAACGCTTCCTTGAGAACCACTAGGCTGAGACATGAACGCTAAGTATGGGCTTAGTCAAGGAAGGGAACAGGGTAGAGAAAGTTGGAGAGAAGAGCTTTCAAATGCAAGGCCAGGAGGGAGGCCAGGAGCAACGGGGAAGCAGTAAAGTATGGCTGGAAGTTAGAGTTAGCAGTGGAAGTGGAGAGAGGTTAAGGTGTATCAGGAAGATGTCTGGAAACCAGGTTAGTGAGTGTGGATGGACTTTTTCCTAACGGAAATGGTTGAGTCACTGAAGGTTTTTTTTAACAAGGTTGTGTGATATGATCGATTTTTGTGTGGAGAGAAGGAGGGTTAAGGAAAGTATTCGAATGATAACTGATGGCCTGGACCACCAGAGGTATGTAGAGCAGGTATGGAGTGATGTTGGGGGTCTGAGGAATATTTAGAAGGTGGAATGATGATTGACTTGATGATTGACTAAGTGAGGGAGGGAGAAGAAGGAGTCCAGGATGGTGACCACCTTTCTAGCTCTGGTAACTGAGTACTGCTGCCACAGACACTGAGTAAGTGAACACAGGTGAAAGAAGACTGACACAGAAGCTTTCTTCAAATGTCTGGCACTCTTTGCTTGTCTGTTCTTAAAAGTGTGGTTTTAGGCTTATTGTGACTAATGTAAACAGCGTAATAGCTTAGTCCTGATGATGTTCAAGGCAGGCAGTTTTGGTGAGAAGATGAGTTTGGGGAGATTGTTACTTGTGGAAATCTGAGGCTCCTTATCACTTCTACCACTGGAGGAATGGAGACTGAGGAAAGTGCTGAATTACTAATAGGAGATACTACAAGATTCATCACTTGGAACAAACCCTATCTTGCCAATCTTCTCAATGGTTTTGGCCCTGCTCCAAAACCACAACACAAAACCTTGAATCAATACAAATGTCTTCCTTATTCACTCCTACCATCCATAGTTGAGCAAAACCTTTCCCCCTCATGCTCAGGAGATGTCTTTGCCTCTTACTTCAGAAAGAAAATTAAGACTACTAGGTAGAATTCTCACAGCCTCCTACTGCTTCCTCTTCTTCTCCTGCAACATCTTCATTCACTTCCATTCTTAACTTCTAGCTGACACAGAGAAAGAGGATGAACCCATGTTGTTCCCCTCTTTTGGGAACTTGTGCCACCAGTTTTCTCCTCTTCCATGTGTCTTAACTTCTCCATTTTTATTGACTCTTTACCTTCAGCATATAAACATGTTCATGTCACTCCCATTTTGTCCTCACAGGAGAGGACCTTACTGGCTTTCTCTAATCTCAGTCCCTCCTGTCTCTCTTGAACTCACTCTGCTCAGGCTTTCATGCCTACCACTCCACCAAAACTGCTCTTGTCAAGGTCACCAATGACCTCCAGTTTTCACTGGCCAAGGCTTTGCCCTTGCAGCTTTGATACTTGACCTCTTTCTCTCTCTTGAAATACTGTCTTCATTTGGTTCTATATCACCACTCTCCCTAGTTCTATTTCTGTCCCTATGACTTTGCTGTTACTTGAGCATGAAAAGCATGCTCTTGCCTCAGGTCCTCTGCCTAGAATGCTCTTCCAACAGAAATCTGCGTAAGTCATAGTCTCACTTCATTCAAGACTCTGCTCAGTTGTCACTGACTGCATATAAATTAGCTTCTCTGTTCCTCTGCCTTATTTTTCTTCCTAGCACTTAACACAACTTCACATACATATTCATCTCTTTATTTGCCTCTAGCTGTTTCCCCCTTCTAGAATATCTGCTCTGTATCCTTGGTCTCCACTCTGTTCCTTTGCTTTTTAGTAGTAGAACATATCTCCATCCCCAAGTTTTAGCAGAGATTGATGACTCAGTTAGAAACTACATTCCATGGCCTCCCTTTCACATAGCTAGGGGTGGCTATGTCAAAAAGTTGTAACCAGTAAGATGTGAGTAGGACTTCTGGCTCATGCCCCTTGAAAGTAAAGCTGCTTACTATCCACTTCCCCGTCTCCCATCTTGTTGTCTGAAAAATGGCAAAAAACGGAGATAGCAACCATGTATTGAGGAAGGCAAAGTTGCCCCATCAGACTAGGTCCCAGTCTAACTTCAGAGAGATGAGACACTTCTTCCTTGAACTAACCACAGATTTCCAGACCATTACATGACAGAAAAATAAACTTTATTCTTTTTAAAATAATTATGTTTGTCAGGACCAAGACAAGGATGCCCTTTATCATCACTCCTATTTAACATTGTGCTGGAAGTCCTAGCTAGAAATAAGGCAAGAAAAAGAAATAAAGATTATCCAAATTGGTACTGAAGAAATAAAACTGTCCCTATTTGCAGGTGATATGATACTACACCTAGAAAACCCAAAAGACTCTATGAGAAAACTACTGGAACTAATAGAAAGATTCGGCAGAGTCACAGGATACAAGATAAACATACAAAAATCAGTTGAATTCCTATACACCAATAAAGAGAATGATGAAAAGGAAATCAGGAAAACAATACTGTTTATAATCGTCCCTAAAAAATACTTTGTAATAAATCTAACCAGGGATGCAAAAGACCTATACAAAGAAAACTACAAAACACTACTGCAAGAAACCAAAAGAGATCTACATAAACGGAAAAACATACCATGCTTAGGATAGGTAGACTCAATATTGTGAAAATGACGATTCTATCCAAAGCAATTCACAAATACAATGCAATCTTGATCTAAATACCAACAACATTCTTTAAAAAGATGGAAAAACTAATCGTTAACTTTACATGGAAAGGGAAGAGGCCCTAAATAAATAATGCACTATTGAAAAAGAAGAAAAAAGTAGGAGGACTCCCACTACCTGACCTCAGAACCGACTATATACAGCTATGGTAGTCAGAACAGCCTAGTACTGATACAATGACAGATACATTAACTAATGGAACAGAATTGAGAACCCAGATGTAAATCCATCCACCTTTGGTCACCTGATCTTCGACAAGGGCCCAAAGTCCATCAAATGCGGAAAAGACAGACTTTTTAACAAATGGTGCTGGCAAAACTGGATGTCCACCTGCAAAAAAATGAAACAGGACCCATACCTCACACCATACACAAAACCTAATTCAAAATGGACCAAAGACCTAAATATAAAACCAAAAACTATAAAGATTATAGAAGAAAAAATAGGATCAACTCTAGAGGCCCTAATACATGGCATTAACAGGATACAAACAATAACAGCACACAAACTCCAGAAGATAAGCTAGATAACTGGGATCTTCTAAAAATTAAACACTTATGCTCATCAAAAGACTTCACCAAAAGAGTAAAAAGAGAACCTACAGACTGGGAAAAAATTTTTGGCGATGACAAATCTGACAAATGTCTAATCTCTAAAATCTACAAGAAAATCCAACACCTCTACAACAAAAAGACAAATAGTCCAATTAAAAAGTAGGCAAAGGAAATGAACAGACACTTCACCAAAGAAGACATTCAAGTAACTAACAGACACGTGAGGAAATGCTCGCAATCACTAGCCATTAGAGAAATGCAAATTGAAACCACAATAAGACACCATCTCACTCTGGCATTACTGGCACGAATCAAAAAAACAGAAAATAACAAATGTTGGAGAGGCTGCGGAGAGATTGAAACTCTTATGCACTGCTGCTGGGAATGTAAATGGTACAACCATTTTGGAAAACGATTTGGTGCTTCCTTAAAACCCAAAAAAACGATTCCGCTGCCGTCAAGTTGATTCTGACTCATAGCGAACCTAAAGGACAAGGTAGAACTGCCCCATAGGGTTTCCAACAAGCACCTGGTGGATTTGAACTGCTGACATTTTTGTTAGCAGCTGTAGCTCTTAACCACTGAACCACCGGGGTTTCTGGTGCTTCCTTAGAAAGCTAGAAACATAAATCCCATATGATCCAGCAATCCCACTCCTAAGAATATATCCTAGGGAAATAAGAGCCATCACACAAATAGACATATGCACACCGATATTCATTGCAGCATTGTTCACAATAGCAAAAAAGATGGAAACAACCTACATGCCCATCAACAGATGAATGGATAGACAAACCATGATACATACACACAATGGAGTGCTACCCAATGATAAAGAACAATGATGAATCTGCTAAGTGTCTCACAACATGGGCGAATCTGGAGGGCATTATGCTGAGTG